CCAGTGCTGCCAATGTATTTTGTGTGCATACGACCTTGTCTGCATGTTACACGCTCACTATTTCGTGCCTTCACGTTGCAAATCTGGAGTGAGACAAAGTAATTAGAGTGAGACAATGTTAACATTGTCTCACTGATGAGCGAATTGGCCACTTTGCTTTCTCAAATCAGTGAGAGAACATGTACATTGTTAGGTAACTGTAGGAAACACTATTTTTCTACCTAGGGTAAAAAAATCAACTGGAGCGAGGTCATCAGCTGTACATTTTGGTTATAGTTGTCTGCTGATTTTGCTAAGAAAAGAGTCCTGATTAATAGGAAAAGCGTTTTTAGCTAAGAGCCATTTGTGCCTTTGACAATTGATGTGAGTCACCGAAAGATTGTGCTGATGTAAATTACAAATTTCTGTCGAATACACAAACTTTTTACCAGCCTAAGTCAAACTGATGGAATGATTTATTGTAAACTACAGCGACTGTTATGACCAAGCTACGTCTTGGAAAACAAATTAGGTAAGAAATAGAATTTTAGACACTGGCACATTCTGTGACTGGCTTACGCAATTATGTTCTTTTTCTGTACAAGAATAGCTAAACCATGTAGATGAGATGTCTACTACAGAATACAATAGTCAATGGTATTGCTAGGTAGTTTGTGTGTACGCCGCCACAACAAGCGATTCCCTGTTTACAGAACAGTGATATTTGCAGCTTTGCAGCTGATGTGTACACTTACCTATGTCTATAAAATGTTTAAAATTAATGAATCTCCCATCTCATGCGAGATACAGGCAGTGATATGTTTTTTACTGCTATAAAACATATTCGATACAGACATTAATCACCAGATGACGGTGATAATGCCGCAACCCCCTGTTCTGAGCCTGAAGTAATGTGTGAAACAATCCCAGATTTGACTAGCGTCATAGGACATAAAAAAAACCCCAACGAAAACACAATTTCTTTGGAAATGCACATTTTAAAAGCCCCAACTATTTCGGCACTTAACTCATTGCACTACCATTAACATCAGTCATGTGGCAAATGTTTGCATCACATATGTTTTATTTTTTGCTTGAGTCAAGGCCAGTAGCATTTTTGTAATTAAGTAAATTCAAACGCTTTGCTTTTAGGGGAAAGTGGTCCAAACCTTGCAGTAAAAAAAGTATCACTGACCTCATCTAACATGCGGCAGAAAATTGAAAAGCTTTACAAATTTCCTAGAATCAGAAAAGCGTACACGTCAGCCACAGAGCTGCAAATGGCGTGATTCTGTTCATAAATGTTGCTCCAAGCAGTAAGCAGCCTCGTACTGGCTTACAAATTACGGAGCTATATGCAGTTATGCACAAACTTAATAAACACCCCTCATATTTTATTATTGTACAATTATTAAATTTGTTTAATGTTTTTATCATTGTATGGTATTGTATATTTCACAAGAATAAATATACCTTAAAAAGTTAAAAACATGACTTTTGGACTAATTGATTTTTTTTTAAATTTAGCAATTAAATATGAACTATTACTATGTTGGTAGAATGGTAGAGTATGCATATTGCATGAAACAGCTGTTTGTAAACATATAATAGCAAAACAAGAAGCGTAACCTATTTTGAGAGCTAATTAATAAAGATAAACAATGTACAAAATTTATGTTTTGTAAATTATTTTGTAGAATGGTGCAGTACGGCAAAAAAGATAGTTCACACACGGACCGAAGAATACTTTTTAGCTTCGCTCATGTTCAAGGCTTGGTGTGGCCTCGGTCGTAAAAGTGATCTCATGTAACAAAGTCACTTAAGGCCCTCGCCCTAGATAATAAATATCCTATATAAAAAACCAAAGTCTAAACAAATGAAAACTTACTTCAAGTGAGGAACAGTGAGGAATTATGAATTAAACTAGAATAGGACAACTCAAATTGAAAAATGACATTTTGTAAGCAGAAACGCAATCAACATTTAACAACTAAATACAAGAAAAATATTTGGCTAAATGCCTACAATCAGGTACATTAAACGTATAATACAACATATTTACATTCATTGAGTCTTATTTCTTATTTACATCATAACAGTTGTTAAATACAAACATATCTTGGATATGCATACCAAGCAAAATTCAATTATCGGATGTGCTTGAAGCAACAGCAATCATTCCGTAATAATTTATGTAATGGCACAAAATTACAAAACACGTCACTAAGTGTATGAATATCCTTGATAATCAGGTGTTTAAGGTACTGAGGACTTAGGAATTATTTAATTGACTGTCAATTAATGTACAAACATTTGTACGATTGTTAATGTACACAATTTTAATTGACCTATTCTAAAAAACTAAACTAACCAACCCTGTCACAGTTAACAATTTTACAAGATCTGAGGGTAGCTGACAGACTGGGTAGAAGCTGAGAAGTCAGTAATGCGCCGTCCTAGCTGGGCGACTTGAGCGGCGCGCCCAACGTGACTGACGGTCGCTGCTGTCGGCGACAAAATGTGTATCCACACTGAGCAGCACAAAAAGGCGACGCGCCATGGGCTGAGGCAGCTATGGTGGATGCCAATTTGTCGTGTCACCGGTGTAGCGCTACCAAATATCAACATGTTTGAATCTTGAATCGCGACTGACGAGAGCGACATCGCTCTTGCTGCTCAGCTAGGACACTCATATTACTAACCATGTGTTTGTATCTGTCACTCTTGTTGGTCTCGCCGCTTTGTCGCCCAGCTAGAAAAGGGCCTAAGTTGTTCAGTTCACAGTTCAAAACTGGAACTGTGCTTTAGCATATGGGAAAATTAGCATCATCTGGTTTTACTTTTAAGTTAAGCATAAGGCAAGGCAACACTAAATAAACAGGCTGTAATGCTCATCAGGCATGACGTCATCGTAGGCGACGGCAATGATGTAATGTTTGCCGTATGTCTGATTAAGGTTATATTTTTGTTTTCCAAGAAAATATCAAAACAAGCAGCTGATCTTAAACGGCAAACATTACGTCATTGCCGTTGCCTATGATGACGTCATGCTAGAGGAGCATTACGACCTGTTTATTTATTGTTGCCTTGATATAGGCCTACTGTTTATCCCAAAATTGCATACTTGGACAGAACCAGATTTTACATAGGTACCTAAAAATTAGGGATGGACGGGTCCCGAAATTTCGGGAATTTGTCGGGAAAAAAATATTCCCGATTATCGGGACGGGATTACATTTGACTTGGGAATTTTTCGGGACGGGATTTGGTCCGATCGTCGGCGATTTTTCCGCTTCGCGAGTGCCGATAACGCCGTTATTGCGAGCGATAGGTCCGCGAACGCAGGAGACAAAGTCATTTCGACGATTACGCCGTGACCGCGGAGTCCTATCGACGACCGCGCCGTGACCGCGAGTCATACCGACGATCGCGCCATGACCGCGGAGTCCTACCGACGATCGCGCCGTGACCGCGGAGTCCTACCGACGATCGCGCCGTGATCGCGAGTCATACCAACGATCATGCCGTGATCGCGAGTCATACTGACGATAACCCCGTGACCGCGGAGTCATACCGACGATCGCGCCGTGACCGCAAGTCATACCGACGATCGCGCCGTGACCGCGAGTCATACCGACGATTGCGCCGTGACCGCGAGTCATGACGACGATCGCGCCGTGACCGTGAAGTCATACCGACGATAACCCCGTGACCGCGAGTCATGACGACGATCACGCCGTGACCGCGAGTCATGACGACGATCGCGCCGTGACCGCGAGTCGTGCTGACGATCGCGCCGTGACCGCGAGTCGTGCTGACGATCGCGCCGTGACCGCGAGTCATACCGACGATCGCGTCGTGACCGCGAGTCATGACGACGATCGCGCCGTGACCGTGGAGTCATACCGACGATCGCGCCATGACCGCGAATCACGATCGTGCCGTGACCACGAGTCATGACGACGATCGCGCCGTGACCATGGAGTCATACCGACGATAACCCCGTGACCGCGGAGTCATACCGACGATCGCGCTATGACCGCGAGTCACGATCGTGCCGTGACCGCGAGTCATACCGACGATCGCGCCATGACCGCGAGTCACGATCGTGCCGTGACCGCGAGTCATACCGACGATCGCGCCGTGACCGCGAGTCATGACGACGATCGCGCCATGACCGTGAGTCATACAGACGATCACCCCGTGACCCGCGAGTCACAAGTTTCTATAGGTACCTGTAAATTGTTACCCATTTTTTGGTTTTTATAGATCAGTGCCACAAATGGTAAAGATTGATTTCATATGTCTTTTTTGGTAACTGCAATACAGTACTTTCTTTTTATGCACAGAAAAAAATCCCGTCCCGTCCCGTCCCGAAAATCGGGAAGGAAATAAAAATCCCGTCCCGTCCCGTCCCGAACTAAAAATTCAATCCCGTCCATCCCTACTAAAAATACAAACATTACTAATTAAAAAATGTTCAGTTGTATATTTTTTTAATTTAATTTTTGTTTGGCTTTAAATTATGCCAAAACCTGTTTATTTACCCAGTTTTTATTTAACCCAAATATTATTGCATTTGAAATGAATACTACTTTAGATGTGATATTTTGTATGGTTTTAAATTAGTAGCTAGTTACATGATAGCTTTTAGACATTCCATTATGGGCGTTTTTTAACTAAGAGCCAACTGTTGATACAAAGGACATTCCATCTCCATGTTAAACTTGTAGCCAGTTTTTTAACCAAAATCGTCGTAGTTGATGTGAGCCACCGACAGATTGTGCTGAGCTAAATTACTGATTTCTGTTGAATACACAATCTTTTTACCATCTCAAACTAATGGAATGACTTATAGTGAGCTATAGGAACTGTTATGACCCATCAACTATGTCAGCAACAAAAAATAAGGTAGAAAATAGAGTTTTAGTCACTAGCGCATTCTGTGACTGGCTCACACAAATACGTTCTTATTTAAGAAAAAATTTGCTACAACTGGTCCATCTAGATGGAATGTCTACTCCAGTATTCAATAGTCAATGATGATAGTGAACTTTACATAAAAAATGTTGATTAAGTTCCAAGTTATTATTTATTTTGTTAAATTTCAAAATGGCTGATTTTTTGGCCAATCTAAGCCAAAATGGAAAAAAACGTTACTGGATATTTTTTACTTACTTTGGTATGTACAATCTGGTTATGTACAGAATGCTACAAATTTTTTGGACACCCTGTATAAGCTTTCTCATTCTACACTCACTTAACTTTGTTGGTAAAGTACAGTGCCAAGCAGCTGCCAGCTATTTCTCACTTTTCTTCAATACTCTAAACTTTGAATGATGCATTAATTCTAATGACTACTTGTCCGAATAAGAAGGTTTCGATGACAGTCTATTCTGGAGGTAGTCACTAAATTTAACGTCGAAGTCAAGCCCTTCTCCTGTAAGTACATCAAACTCAGGACGACGGAAGAGTGCTTTACAAATATCTTGGGGTTCAATACGACCTCCTCCTCTGGAAAACAACAATACAAAACTCAATAAGATACTCATTTTGACTACTTAAAATCTTATTCTAAGAAATTGTTAGTACTATGATTAGTGCTAATCCTAATTTAACCCACTGACGGCGGAATTTTGTTTTATTTATCTATTAATATTTTTTTGTTATGTTCTTTTTTTGTCTTTTATCTTAAATGTATTTCATCTTTCTGTTCCCTGTTTGAAGTTACTTGAAAACGATGATTTTGTGGACGATTTAGAGAACTAAAATCGGCTGCTTCCCAGACAGTATGATGAAAAGGTGTTTACAGTACTCGCATGAAATTTACAACCTGAAGTACAGTAGACTCCCTCTTATCCGGACTCCTCGACACCGAGGCCAGTCAAGATAACGATTTTTCTGTTTAAACGAGTAACGATACATGAGCGCGCCAAGAGAATAACTCAAAAACTAAACCAAATATTTTACTTAAATTTGGGAGATCAAGTATTTATACATGAGATCACTGGTCTGAAATCTTTCCAGAAAAACCGTTCCAGTACCACCCACTTTCTGCCAGTCAAGTCCAGATAAACCGATGTTCTGATAAAAATTGTCTGGTCAAAGAGATGTTGATTTCTGCCGAGTGTAGTCTAGTTAAGCCAATGTAGGGTTAAAGAGGGAGGGTCTTGTAGAACTAACATGCTTGTACTGTAAAAACCTACTTCCAGGTCTTGTGAGTGACATAATATACTATTCAATTCAAGTACCAACGGCTAGAGTACTAGATTAATTGAAACATATTTTTACAAAATAGAAGTAAATTGACACTTTCCCTATGTTATTGCATTACCTGTGAGCAGCTACTTCCAGCCCCCGCCTCAAAAGGTCCTCTGCTAGTGACACAGTCGCATGAGTCAACAATGTGGCGGAGACTGACTGTGGGGGGCCCCCCGCCAATAGTGGCTCACTGCCCAGCTTGAGTGCCTGCTGATAAATTGTGATTAGAAATAAAATATCACCAGGTTACAACGCCGTAACATTTGCTGCAATATAACATTTTGCTGCTAGAAGCAGGAATAGCTTAGTACAAAATAAAGTTTTTGCATTAAGAAAAAAAAAATTGATTAAAGTTTATAACAGGTAAAAAATAAAAAACTTAAGTAGAAACTCACTTAGGTATTTTAATTACCTCGCCTTGATCTCCCATTTATATGGACCAAGTCGCAACCAAATATTGTTTATTGATAAACATATCTGAAAGAACAGCCACAAAAGTGCCAGGTAAAACTAGGCTATTGGGTTTAAACAGTGTATCATTTGACTTTCCCTCTTAGTTTTTGATACTAAAATAGATTATGTGATAAAATATGCTATAGCTAACATTAAGCTGACCTTACATCAGCTTAGCTTGATTAATATGATAGTGTATTCAACAGAAATCAGCGGTTTACATCAGTAAACCCTGTCAGTAGATGAATTCAACTATGTATATTAATTTTTTATTTCTAAGCTGGCTAGCATAACAATCCCCTATACCAGTACTGCACATTGGACTTGGAATGGAGTGCAGACACATGATTTAGAGAGTCAAGTTGCGAACATTCACCAGGAATTGTTATGGCTTGATGTCTAAAGGTTCCTGTAACAGCTGTTTAATGTTTTAACAAGTGACTAAGACACAGACCTGCGTAGCAATGTACGAGTGCATGTCTTGTACCCAGGAATGTCCACAAAGTAGTTTTCCATCTCCTCCTCCTGTGTCATCAGTAGTATTCCTCTTGCTGGGATCTGAACACACTATTGCTGAAAATACACACATAACAAAAATCTGTAAGAACATATCAACGTAACACATCAGCTCTGTTCCTGAAGGTTTTTTTTGTACACTAAACTCAAATATGACTAATGCAATGTCCTAACGATGGGCAGTTTCAATCCTCTTCTCATTATACCACAGAGAAAGACGGTACAGTAGAAACACTCAATGCTACAGGGTGCGGCAAAAAAAACCGATCTATTTTATGCAGCGCACTGTTCAGCGACAGTTCGTCTGAGAGTGATGGAGTTAGGCTCTTGGATAGCCTACACAATGACATTATCTGTGGTCTTAAATCTGTGATCGAAAATCAAATTTCCAAACAATTTTAAAATGTTTAAATCATTATACTTATAATTTTTTAATACTGTATTCTTAAATGGCGACCATACGAATGTAAGTATTTTAAGCCAAGTATAAATTGAGTTGAGTGTAGGATGAGCGCTCCGCTCATCTGTGTTGTTATCTGTGTTGTTTTGGCGATAATTTTAAGATCGCTCCGATCTTGTAGTTTTTTGTGAGCATTTTTGTGAGAATCAGAATTTATTAAATGGGTTTTTATGGAAAAATTACCATTGAAAATCAAATTTCCAAACAATTTAAATATAGGCCTGGAGATACTATGAATTCATATTCCTATTGCACTCCTTGTAAACAAGAATAGTTTAACTTTATTTTGTTTTTTACATTCCACACTGCATCAAACTGTTTGAAGGTTCAATCCCAACCTAATTGCTATTATTCGTCTATTTTTAATTGTTGTTCCAGTCCCAAAGAGTGATAATTAATCAAGGTTCTACAGTAAAACGTTTTAACCCAATTGTTCAACTATGAAACACAAAAAAAGGTCAATATAAAAATACCTGTGGGATATTCTCCAAGGATGTCAACGTCTTCCTCTGCTTCAGTTCTTACTTTGTGTCTAACAGAGGCCAACCACTCAAGCACTTTTGTAGGTGGAGTTTTTTCTTTTAGTATTTCAATATGCCTTCTGTTTCTATCCGAAGTATTTTCAGGTCCTAAAAAACATGTAGAAATAAATTTAATTATATTAAACTCTAATAGCAAACCATCTAAAAAGGATAAAACCTAGAAACTATATCACATCCCAATTCAGCACATGAAAAATTTAGGCGCAGGCCTATAGTTTTAGATGTATTTAATTTTTTTAGTCTTGTAATCTTTTGTCGGAATACATTTTTTTGTATTGTCACAAAATGTTTATACATAGCATAGCTACAAAACAGGTGACATTGTCAAATTATGATAGACACTCAGTTGGTCATCTTACATTCTACAGTTTAAATATTGAATAAAAATAATGACTTTGGTTTTAAAATAGTTCACAAGAAATACTCATTAATTAATATGGTAGTAGGTTTTTTTTCTATTTAACATTTTGATAAATTATTTTTAAATGACATTGTATTGACTATATTAGCCTACATTAATGTGTTAAATCAAATATGTCAGCAAAATGTAATTTTTTGGTACAAAAATCTATACAAGATTCAACCTAAAACCATTCAATCATAGTCAAGTCTGGGAATGACAAATAAATAATAAATTATTTAATAAATTAATTACTTATTTTAAAATATACAACATATAAAAAAATTTCTGTCCAAACAGGCAACACAAATCCATGATGTAACTTTTAACTGATAGTGATTTATAACCTGTTTAATAAAAATACCCCCGTCGCAGCAAACCTGACAACTAAGCGAATTTCCATTTGTCTGAATTGATTTTCAATTAAATATATTTAAATGAGTACCTAGGTTTGCTGCTACAAGGAAACTAATAAAGTGTGTTTTTTAGTAAAATATTAATAGCTTAGTACAAAATAAATAAGTTTGCCAAGATTGATCAAAATATATCCATAAACAACCAAACTACAACATTTTACAATATTCTCCATAAGAATAACATGGGAATTTTTAATTTAAAATTTTTTAATTTTCTCCGTTACCAATAACCGTACAAAAATACTTTTATATACTAAATTATTTGTTTTTTTAAGCTCTTTAAAAAGGTATAAAGAGAAATTGGGAAACTATGTGTTTTGAGGGTCAAAAGTGAGAAAAACCAATTTTCACCCCATAAAACCCCCCGTAAAGCCCTGTTCCCATGGTCCGATCATGCTGGTTCGCGAACTCATTCAAGTTTATCCCGCTTTACACCTTTAAACCAAATTTCATCAAAATCGGACAAAAATTACTCAAGTTATCGCGTTCACGGACACATATATATATATAAATCTATATATATATATATATATATACATATATAACAATTTTAACGAATGGTGTTTTTGGCCTCTGGGGACATCAAAATGAAAAAGTAAATCGCTCCCGGGCTTAGGTCTTACCATGCCACCTACGGTAATAGCTACTTCCCTATAGGGAAATTCGCTAAAACTAGGCTACTTTGCTTGATCAAATACAACACACTGTTCAGTTTTAAAAACATATAAAATTTGTTTCTATGCATTTCAGGGATGACATATCCATTAAGTTGCTACTGTCAAAATCTAAATATAGTTCTAAAACCAGACATAAAATACAAAAATTACTTTAGACTCTGCTCCCAACACTTTCTAAAACCTTTACTATATTTAAATATTTAGATACTGTTATTGTTCTAAAAAAAACCCTAGGCCGGAAAACAAACTCACCAATGAGGCAGAATGAAGGAGAGTAGCCGTGAGTCCGACACCACCAATATACAGTCTTAGTGCTCCACACTGGCTCAGTCAGGACTTGTTTGGTTTGTAGCAATGTCAGCAGCCTCACAACTGTCTTGGCTCTAAGCCACTGTAACAAACAAACTCATCAATGGGGGCAGAATGAAGGAGAGTAGCCATGAGTCCGACACCACCAATATACAGTCTTAGTGCTCCACACTGGCTCAGTCAGGACTTGTTTGGTTTGTAGCAATGTTAGCAGCCTCACAACTGTCTTGGCTCTAAGCCACTGTAACAAACAAACTCATCAATGGGGCAGAATGAAGGAGAGTAGCCGTGAGTCCGACACCACCAATATACAGTCTTAGTGCTCCACACTGGCTCAGTCAGGACTTGTTTGGTTTGTAGCAATGTCAGCAGCCTCACAACTGTCTTGGCTCTAAGCCACTGTAACAAACAAACTCATCAATGGGGCAGAATGAAGGAGAGTAGCCATGAGTCCGACACCACCAATATACAGTCTTAGTGCTCCACACTGGCTCAGTCAGGACTTGTTTGGTTTGTAGCAATGTCAGCAGCCTCACAACTGTCTTGGCTCTGAGCCACTGTAACAAACAAACTCATCAATGGGGCAGAATGAAGGAGAGTAGCCATGAGTCCGACACCACCAATATACAGTCTTAGTGCTTCACACTAGCTCAGTCAGGACTTGTTTGGTTTGTAGCAATGTCAGCAGCCTCACAACTGTCTTGGCTCTGAGCCACTGTAACAAACAATCTCATCAATGAGACAGAATGAAGGAGAGTAGCCGTGAGTCCGACACCACCAATATACAGTGTTAGTGCTCCACACTGGCTCAGTCACAACTTGTTTGGTTCGTAGCAATGTCAGCAGCCTCACAACTGAAATCTAGGACTGGCACATACAGATGTAATAGTAGACTATGTAGATTTAATTTGCGCACATGTGTGGTTTTACTATTGAACATATCCGTTCATTTTTTGCTAGGCCTAACTTGTGATTCAGACTTTTCAGTTCTGACAAGATTTTAGTCTCAAAGTTTCCAATTGGGAAAGAATCTCCAGTAGCTGTAATTAGAATCGTCTTTACCTCAGCTGCAGCCTGTCTGGTTGGGGACCACGAGCAGTAGACCTGTCTGGAGTAGGCACAGTAAGGATGTACAGTCTTGTAGGCTACCATTTGAGCGTCTGAGTGGACCAAAGGCAAACCTCTGACAAGCCACCTCACTGCTGACTCCGTCTCCAAAAATGTACATGTGTTGACTAGACATCTAGCGAAAAAAAAAAAAAATATGATGCGAGAATAATTATAAATTCATGAACTAAATAATTATAAATTCATGAACTAAATAATTAATTAAGATTACAAAGTCCTGCGTTTAAGTCTTTTCGTACCGCCTACGGTAATCACTTCTTCCCTTTAGGAATATTTGCTGAAAAGGGCAATGGAAAAATGGTTCTAGTGTGCATGCACATCTATCTCACTTGCCACACTAAATGATTCCATGCGTACACTAAATATTTGACCTTCACTAACTCATAACCTTTAAAACCTTTGATTATTTTCAATCTCATAAGTAAAACCTGTACACTGAACTTGAGACTAGGTGATGGTCCAATAAAGCTTAAAATTTCTGTTTACGGTGACACCAGATTCAATCTAGTTCATATGGATATAGACTGGAGCGGATTTAGTGCAACAAATTCCGAAGTAGGCAAAATATCCATATATTAATAGGCAAGCATGTTTCTTTAAAACCTTTTTTCTCAGCTTGTGTGCATCTTAGGGGAAATCTACGCATACTGTTAGAAAAATATTTGCCTATAGGGATGATCTACCCATACTGTTAGAATGATATTTTCCTGTAGATGTGCAGATCCCCTCAGGGCCGGTTTAACCCATACGCGAACTACGCGGCCGCATATGGCGCCACGGAAAAGTGGCGCCAACGGAACATTTTTTTACGTGAACAACGTAATTTTGTTTATTTTTGCTCAGAGTACAAGTATTCAAAGCACCACAATAAAGGCATTTATTCTGTTTGTACCAACAGCACTTGAAAATGTTGTACAGCAATACAACTCAATGCCATTTGCAGTTTCGATTTGAACTGAGCTGACGCTCGGCAGTCGGCAGCGTCAGCGCCAGCGCGGCACCTGGGTTTCATTTCACGAATCACTCATGCTCGAGATAAGCAAGCGCGCAGCGCCACTTGTCACAACAAGAAACTTCCACTTTCTTTCACTCCTTTCTGCCTCTGATCCTAGAGCAGAGCACTACGTTGTACTGCACTCTTTTAGTTGTATACGTAGGCCCACGATTACTAGAAAAATACCGGTATGGATCATAAACATAAACAAATGACGTTGTTGGCCCGAATCCTATACTAATAGCATTGAACATAACATATGTTTTGGCAGTTCCATTTAAGCAATGTTAAATAATGTTTATTTTCTGGCCAAAAACGTCATTTGTTTATGATCCATACCGGTATTTTTCTAGTAATCGGGCGTAGGCCTATACCGTATCGGTATCGTATTGGCATTGTTTTGATGATTCATGATTGTTGATAAGCGAATTATTACGAGTGTTTTAAGTTTAATTTATAATTAGCACATTAAATAAAAAGAAAGTATAAACTGAATGAATGAATGAAACATATTGCGAGCCGAAACTATGAAAACAATGGCAGAAAAAAAGAAACCGTCTGGCACTTATCATAGAAAGCGTAAGGCGAATTTGGAAGGGGAAGAAAAAAAAGCCAAATCAATGAGTAGACTTTTGTAGAAATCATCTGGTGGCGAGTCCAGTCAGCCCAAAGAAGTCACGAGTCACGATAGAAGACGGCAATGAATGACGTAGGTATTTATTTATTTATTTTCCAAGGAAAGATTAAAACAAGCAGCTGATCGTGACGTCATGCTTGACGAACATTACATTACGGCCTGTTTTTTTAGTGTGACCTTGGTTTTGCTATAGTTTATTTGATGAGTAAAAGTGTATAAATGTCACATTTCTGCGAATAATAAACAGCCTTTTATTGCAAGTTAGTATTCTTCTACCTAAACTTAAAAAAAAATTCTTCCCAAAATTATTGGGAAAAAATTCACAAATACGGTTAAGTTATGTTCATGGTTTGGGGGGGGGGAGGAATTCTAAGTGGCGCTGATTCGGGTGTTCGCTTAACTCTGAAAAATTCCTAGAACCGGCCCTGGATCACCTTATAAATTAAAATAGGCTCAAAAATAACAAAAAAAAAATGAATTAAAATTTAAAAAATTTAACATGGGCCTTATGTGTTGCCATACTGGTGACAAGAGAGCAACAAAATATAAACAGAAAATCAAAACAAATGGACGAGATTCCAATCACATGTTTTATTTACAGTGTGGGGCAAAAATAGAAGTCTGTACATTACATATTTTTGGTTGTTTTCAACCGATGGACGACCTCTAGTATTCTTAATTCCTTCAAATGATACTGCTGCTTTGAAACGGAAGCTACTGAATTCAGTGGAATAACACATACATGGTTAAGTAAGTTAAGAGGGATCATACATGAGTGGTAGTTAAGTAATTATCTGGTAAGAGTGTAAGTTAGGCTCGACACTATTAGATATAATTACTCGATAGTTTAAGCTTTTTTTGTCCTGGGGGGCGCCCGAATAGGCCACTGAATTTATATGTTTAATAGGCCTACTATAAAAAAAGTACTTAAATACTTTTCATTGAAATGGCAACCATACAAAGTAGATAGGTATTTAAGTATGAATGGAGATAAGTGTAAGATGAGTGGCGCGATCTTGTAGTCCTGTTAGTGACTAAGGCATGTTCCTTTGACACAGCTATTAATTAATAGCCTATACAGCTAATGGCAACTAAGGGACCTACAGTTTATAGTGGAATTCGAGCCACATTTTTGTCTTGGTATTAAGAAATTGGTTTAATTATTAGGATAGTACAGCGGAAAGTCGTAGTACTCACTAGTGCGGACGTTAATCCATACCAGGGAGTATCTATCTTACTGAGAGAACTGCATAAGTTCTTATGTTTCAAAGTAAGTTCCTATTTTTCCTCACATATAAGAAGTACATAGGCCAAAATTCAACTTACCTCAACTGCTGAATGTAGTAGAGAATTTGATCGTTCACTGTTGAGCTCAATAGGTCACTCCCACCAAGGAGGTGTTTTCTCTGAACTTGAACTCGTCCCAGGTATAATCTTTCAGAGTCATAATGAGGACTACTGCAAGATGAACCACAATCCAAGTACGAAGCATTGATATCTTTCTTTTCACTTTTACAGGTATTTGAAAGTATAGGCCTTGATGGAATACTGGTTTTCGGAAAACATATAGCCTCAGTCAGTTCATTTAGAGTTACAATGTTTTTTGTTGCTATCAAATCATTTAAATCCGTCTGGTCTTCTGAGATATTACTTGTGATTTGAAACTCGGATGTTTTATTGATTTCTTCCTTGTTTGCACACAAGACTTTTGGTCCTGATGACAAATTTGGTCTGATGAATGAATTTGGGGTAGAACACTTAGAGGGAATAAGTTCAAGAGGAGTTACAGTTTGTTTTTGTACATCGTTAGGTAAATTAGGCGTAATATTTTTCATTGGCACTGACAGCGATCCGCTTTTGAGCATACTATTACTTGACACTGCATGTTCTTGAATTAAGTTGTGCTTTGAAACAGCATTATTTTCACAAAAACTTTGACTAGAGCTTGTCGCGTTTACTATCATTACAACTTTAGCATTTCCAGGTTTCAGAATTTTATATTTTAAAAAATTAGGTGTTTGTGGGCCATTTACAGCATTTGATGGAGAAACGATAGGTTTCTGTGAAACTTTTACAATATTCAATTGAGAAACACTTGATTTCCCAGGCATGTTTACGTCATTCAATTGATAAACATTAGATTTCCTAGGAGTATTTACCACATTCAATTGAGACACATTTGATATGCTAGGTCTAAGAAGACTATTGGGACTTCTAGCATTGAGCTTTAATAAACTGTTATTATTACGAACTTCAGGTCTTAACAAGCTAAAGCTTTGAGAGGGTCTGATTAAAATGGGTTTTTGCTCATTCTGCAAAGAGTTTGATGAAGAGGAAACTCGTGAACCTTGACATACCAAATTGGTTTTCCCAGTAGAAGTATAAACTTTATTTGTCCCATCAACTTTTTGTTTCTTCACAATTTCACTTGTTGATTTGACTTGAAAATTATTAGTAGTGTCTTGTTTATTCGGCAAAATAGAAGTTGTCATTCCATTGAGATGAGATCTACCTGGGATATCTTCTGTAGCTGAGTGTACTTTAAGATTTGGTGGAACATTGAGAGGTTTTTGCCTATTTGAGAGTAATTTTTCTAGAGAAGCTACAACAGGTTTTAGTGGCAAAGGCAAATCACTTGGAGCTGTTTTCAAACTTTCATCTGAGTTAAGCAATCCATATTTTTTTGCCACATTTTTTGGCACTACCAACACATTTTTAAAAGGGGTACTAGCATTCATATGTGGCTGCGATAAGTTGGTTGGTTTGTTTGCATTTAGAATTATTTGATTATCCTGGGCCTTTGCTTGTGGCTGGAATGAGTTTGTTGGTTTGTTTGCATTTAGAATTATTTGTTTATCCTGGGCCTTTGCTTGTGGCTGTAATGAGTTTGTTGGTTTGTTTGCATTTAGAATTATTTGTTTATCCTGGGCCTTTGCTTGTGGCTGGAATGAGTTTGTTGGTTTGTTTGCATTTACATTTATTTGTTTATCCTGGGCTTTCATTTGAGGCTGGAATGAGTTTGTTGGTTTGTTTGCATTTAGAATTATTTGTTTATCCTGGGCCTTTGCTTGTGGCTGGAATGAGTTTGTTGGTTTGTTTGCATTTACATTTATTTGTTTATCCTGGGATTTCATTTGAGGCTGGAATGAGTTTGTTGGTTGGTTTGCATTTAGAATTATTTGATTATCCTGGGCCTTTACTTGTGGCTGGATTGAGTTTGTTGGTTGGTTTGCATTTACATTTATTTGTTTATCCTGGGCCTTTGCTTGTGGCTGGAATGAGTTTGTTGGTTTGTTTGCATTTACATTTATTTGATTATCCTGGGCCTTTGCTTGTGGCTGGAATGAGTTTGTTGGTTTGTTTGCATTTAGAATTATTTGATTATCCTGGGCCTTCATTTGTGACTGGAATGAGTTTGTTGGTTTGTTTGCATTTACATTTATTTGTTTATTCTGGGCTTCCACTTGTAGTTGGAATGAGTTTGTTGGTTTGTTTGCATTTAGAATTATTTGATTATCCTGGGCCTTCATTTGTGGCTGGAATGAGTTTATTTGTTTATTTGCATTTAGATTTATTTGTTTATTCTGGGACACTGCTTGAGTTTGAGAGTGTAGTGCTGCAGGTGATTTTGCCATATTCTTTAATGTCAGTTGAGGTTTTGGTACTTCATTTGTTGTTTGTAAACTCTCTCCAAGTGAAACATCTTCAACAGGTATATTAGAACTGTCCAAAATGATTTCCTCGTCCACAATATTATTAATGAACTCATCAATAGGAACCTCCTCCATTTTGATATTACTATCAACATTTGCCTCAGTATAACAGTTAGGAAACGTGGAAAGTACATTTTCACTTTTTGTTTGATTGTTTTCCGTTGACATTTCATTGGTAAAATGGTTTGTGTTATTATTGACAAATGTTGTTTTTCCATCTAATTCATTCATAGTTATAGCCACATTTGGCTTTTCACTGGACACACAGTAGGTTTCAAGTGGCCAGGAGTGTGTAATTGAATTTGTTGGTATCAATTCATCAGCTTCTGAATAGTTCGTTTCTAAAGTAAAATTTTCGAGAAAATCTTGAAGTTCTTTTTTTACTTCCTCGCTCTCCAAAATACTTGTTGGACTACAATCCAATTCAAAGGGGAAAAGAGATATTTTTGAATCACTTCCTGCCAAAGAAGAAACATCACACTCTTCTTTTATTTCCGTTTTTATTCCTAAAGCATCCATAAAATCCAATGGTTCTATGTTCAAAATATCTGATTCCATTTTTTTAAGCTGATTCATACCAACTTCTGAAGTAGAACCTATATTGATTGCTGATGTGCCTGCTTTATTAACCTCTTGAGTGTTAGCATCACTGTGCTCATTTTCACAGTTACATTCAGTTATTTCTTCATTTTCTTCCTTAATATTTCCACAGAGTATACAACAATTTTCGGCAGAGTCAGTTATGATATCATCATCAAACAATTCTCTTTTAATTTCTTCTTGCAAGAACGCCTGAAGAGCATCAGGATCATTTATGTTGCACGTTGTATGACAAGGTAAAGGCTTTGGTGCAGCTTTTGATGTAGATGGTGCATGAAAATCCTCAGAATCAGCGGTATCAGTTTCTTCAGGGGAATGAGATTCTTCAGAAAAATCAGATTCTTCAGAGGAAGAAGCAGAAGAGTCATCAGCAATCATGGCGGTGCTGCCTTCATCGAAGGTGTTGTCTTTGATGCTGCAAGTACAGTTGTGAGAATCAGTTCCCTCACTAGTTGTGTGACACTTGCCACAGATCACTTCTGATGTAAAGTCTGGCACTTCCTCCTTCAGCATGTCACTTGCCAAAGACAGAATGTAGTCAGAATTGTCCAGCTTTGACCCCTGAGCTCTTCTGTTTGGGTACAACCACAGGTCAGCGTAAGTCTCAGCACCTGAAACCGATTAATTAAGAAATTATTTTAGTTATTAATTTCATTAGGAAAATTTGACAAATAGAAAAGAATGGAAGCTGCCAAAACACTAATATTGTTCAAAGGGAATTACTGATAAAACTGCTTGAGACATTGCTAAACAGCTTTAAATAACAGTTATAAGATTGATTTTTTTTATTGTAATTTCCATTTTTATAATAGTCTGATAAACAAAGTGCTAATTTAAAAAGGAGAAAGAGCTAAAAATTACTGGCAGCTAATACGTACTATTGGGTGGAGGTATCATAATTCCTGATCAGGATAATTTATATTTTAAATCCATTCTTTCTGTTTTACCTCTCTTAATAGATAAAAGGAATTTGACTATTGTCTAAATGAAATCAGAACACACGATTTTTCTTCTTTACTTGGTTGTATATAGATCTCTAAAAAGCAAGAATCTCAATTCAGTAGACTCCCTTTTATCCGGACTCCTCGCGACCGAGGCCAGTCCGGATAGCGGGTTTTCCGGTTAAACCGACATCCCCAAGAACTTGCATACTGTATACAGTATTTGGCTTAAATTTAGGATAGAATTGTATTTAGACTCGTGATCACTAGTCTCAAATCTTTCCCACGAGAACAGTTGTTTCAGTACCACCCACTTCCTGCCAATTAAGTCCGGTTAAACCGATGTGCTGATAAAAATTGTCCGGTTAAAGAGGTGTCACATCCGCCAAGTGTAGTCCGGTTAAAAGGTGTCCGGATAAGAGGGAGTCTACTGTACATGTTTGAAGATTATTAAATATTGTGTGTAAACTATTCCATAACGTACAAATAACAGATGATTTCAATGCGCAGTAGAACATCTAATAACTGAAACCCTTTCAACCAAATTACAATAGAACTCCTCATATCCCACCTCGGCATAACTGACTCCACAGCATATCCAACCTTGACTCTCATCAAAAGCTATACCTACACATCTATAGACGTGTGTGAGCATCTCGATTTTCAAGTCGAGCCAAGCCAGCCTACAAGCTCGGGAGATTGAATGCTCTCTCAGAAAATCAAACTTGAGCCCAGATTTTACAATTGCAATTTAATTGAGATTGCAGGACTTGCAAAGATCATACAATTTTTAAAAATTCACGCTACAAATTACTACAATGAAGTTTCAGTGATCGCAGGAGACATGGTGTTATTTCTGCGACCGTAGGAGATGTTCTATATTTTGTCGAGACCCTGAATACAATGATGATGTTTACATGACCGCAGTAGACTTCCAGGGTTTTGCAAGGATTGTGGAATATGACGATGATGAATAAACGGCCGCAGGATATGTTCAGCATATCGCCGCAATGAAGGAAGACAATGATGATTTTTCCACGACCAAGGTATGAAAAATGATCACAATATTACCACGGTAAAGTTATGACATTATATATGTATTGCAGTAGGTCTGTATAATATGTATGTAGGCTACTATAAGCCTATGTATTACAGTAATATTTTATAATATTTCACAAACACTTTAAGTAATACATTACTCACGTTTTTACGGCTCAAGGTTATTTCATAGTATAACATGTTCATTGTTGCATAAAAGTTTACTTTTCTTATCTAGATGTAATTTACTTGTAAAAAAGTTTTTTTCTTACTCCTACCATTATTTGACCTTTAAGGCCATAGCCTGGTCCTGTCATAGTCAGACCTGGGGTGGTTCTACTGTACCGATTAACTGGTTCGGCCGAAAGGAATCATTTTACAGCTATGGTAGCATGTAGCGCTAAACATTCTAACACCCGCATCCTACATAAAAAAAAATTAGCGTGGTGGGAGCGGGAAAGAGAGGGTGATAAGGAAGGTCTTTAACTTCTGGGCACCAGTGACTAATTCGCTACCCTACCCTCCTCCTCTGCAAAACCAGTGTTATTGTCATTCAGTCTGTTTTTCAATTTAATATATAACTATTTCATGTAGGCCTACCAAACTGTACCTACATTTTAAGAAATAAAGATGATTTGATTTATGGTTGATACCCGCCCAGAAAACAATACACATAACCAGAATTGATTTAGAAATTTTGTAAAGGCATTTTCAGGCCCGGACTGGGATCATTTGGGGCCCTCAGCCACATGCTGTGAAGGGGCCCTCTACCGGGGGATTATTTTTTATTAAGTTTTTGTAAACAAGTTTTTGTCTCCCTATTTTGGCATTTGTTTATAAGAAGGAAGAAATTTAGCTAGGTATTTATAAAATAATAGGGTATTTACTTGGCCTATTATTTATTAAGTTATTAAAATCAACTTTATTATTTATTAAAATAAAAAATTTACATTATTTTTAGAACACTACCACAATACAATACACACACTGTAGAAGTGTCAATGAGTGTTATAGCAGAGTTCAAATTAAAGTGCAGTATAATTCACACCAAAGTTAATAAATTGTGTCAACATTATTTGTGTGGTAGGTAATAATAATCACAACTGATTTTAAGAATTTGAGAAACAATACTAACAAGAAGACAAAGACTGTATTAATCAGTAGGCCAACTTAACAACAAGCAAAAATATTGAACCATTAATACACAGAAAATGAGTCATAACACATGGAATATTCACAAAAATTACACACACATTCAGCACTGTCTACAAGGTTGAACATTTACTCACAAACGCATACACACATAGGCCAAACATTTTGTATAGCAAGAATATTAGGTTGTATTATAGAACCATCGATATATAATTAATTAGTGATAGGATAAACATGCTCCCTAGATTTCTCATCCTTATGGATCAGCTGAATATCATTCTGCCGAGTCTGACAAAATAGGCTACATCTTTAGTTAGGCTTAGGAATCGAGATTTATTTTCTACTAACTAAAAAAATAAACTTTAAAAAATCTGGTTACAAAATTAATATGGGGATGGAATGTCTAGTTGTATTAAATTTCAAAGCTGTCATGTTCTTAATAAAAACAAGAATTTAAAATATAATTTTCTTTCCATTAGAGCATACTATTATTTTCTAAATCACAATATTTTTTTGTAGGCAAGACGATGCAGTAGCTAGTTGACTGACATTGAATTGTCCTTAGTGCAAAACTGTACAACAAACAAAACCAACTCAACTGTACTCCTCAACTGTACAAAACTGTAACTCCTTAGCTGTACTCTCTGAATTTTCTTGTGATAGAAATGTTAACAGTTGGATTTATGTGCTAGCCGTGTTTCGTGCGTTAACACAAGCATATACATAGCTGACCTTATGTTACTGCTTTTTAGACGCGGTAGTGAAAAAAAATCGAAATTCTATGGTCGAATTTCGTCAATTGATTTTCGCATTCGAATTATTCCTATCCACTTCTAGATATCGGTAGCGGTATTGACGATCAATTATTCTCGATACACAAACCAATGTTCCAGAATTGGTGATATGGAGAATCGGCACATCCCTACCGGAAAGATTCCAGTACCTTTTTCTTATTTTCCTTTCTTTTTGTGCTGTCTTTATGCTTAGTAATCAGCTGATATGATAGAGCATCACTTTGCCGTTATCTGCTAACCACAACAAAAGTCACCGCACAGAGGATGTATTACACTACAAGACTTACAATAGGCTACAGTAGAGTCTGTGTATGCCTTTAAACGGCAAGATACAAACAGTTGTTAAACACAGTTCTCTAGTGTTTGGAAAATGTAAACAAGACGTTACTAAGAAAATTTGATAACTTCTAACAAGTAACAACATTTTTTTGTAATTTTTAAGCGAGAAGGGGCCCCTCCTTGAGCCGGGGGCCCTCCACGATCGCGGACCTGTGGACCTAGGGCCTGGGCATTTTCATTACTTTCCTCTTCTAAAATTGTGTTAGAACTGTTTACTTGTAAGAGCAAAAGAAAAAGAAAATGGGCCTGTATGCATATATTTTCTATGATTATTTCAACAAGAGATTTGTTGGAACAGCGTTTAAAATTTTTTTTTAAGGTAATATAACTTTAACAATTCATAATTAATAATTCCAACAATATTGTGTACTCACTTCTCGTATGGTGACCACTTCTGGCCCCGTTCAGCTTCAGATGATGAATTATATCAGCAGGTTTATTTGAACTGTTCTTGAAATGAAGTTGAACCCTCATAGGAAACTCTCCCCATCCCCTGCGGTTCAGTGTGAATGGAGGTTTGCTGAAATTAAAATTTGTCTATCAGTAATATTTTAGATCAATAATTTTATTTTGAGCTATAGTATTTGCCAACCATTAGTAATTTATTTTTCAGATAGGCCTAAACAGTTAATCTACCAACAACTCACTAATATTTTACCAACAGTGGATGACCCAAAAGGGGATTTTCTGAATAGTGATTTTACCACAGGAGTAGTGGTGACCTTCCGAAGATTTCTCAAGGAGTGAGGCCTTCCACTTCCCCTTCTGTTTATATAACATTGACCACAAGTGCATTCTTACCGTTCTGCAAAGAGAAAATGAAAACTTAGTGTAACACGTGTTAAATGTTTACTAACCCTGCATCTGGCAGCTACAAATCTCGGTACTGGCAGGCCATTTTTTACTGTATGTACATAGGTTACTTTGTACTTTGTATATGTAGGCCTAAAGCAATATCTAATACGATGATGTCCTCTGTTCAAACTTAAACAAAATTATGCTCAAACAACTAGGTACTAGTTGTTTTCCAGTGGAGGAAATAGTTTTAGCAACTAGTCAATAGTAATTTGCCAAATGCAGGGTTAATAATGTTGTCCCTTGACCTTATAACTTTATAGGGCATCGAGCAGGGGCGGTTTAATTTTGGGTGGGCCCAAGGTCAAGGGGTTTTTATACATTATTTACATTTTGTCTGTTATCCTCCTATATTTCTAACAAAACAACAATAGGTAAAGCACTAAGTTTATAATAGGTGTGCAGTGTGGCAGTAAAGTCAAAAAGTAACTATTTGAAATCTTCATCAAGCATTTAAAAAATCATCTCCTGCAAGTTCGGCAAAACTCTGTCTCTCAGATTGTGATAACATCTTTATAATGATCTTTTATAATCTTGGAGTGTCTTTAAAGTAACCTTCTACTAGGAGAAATGGGACTTGCATTTTAATGATAGAGCAATAAGTTATTTACAATACAAATTGACCACTAGCTCACTTTATAAGAGTTTCTATTGGCCAATGATATAGCCCTTTGTGGTAGGTACATAAAATTTATGCAAGAATGCCAATGCTTCAAATTATGGCTTTGGTGGTAAACCGGGATCCCAGTAAAACTGTGCAGAAAGTAAATTAAAATATGTCTAATAACACTTAAAACATATATTTACTCTTTTATACTGTTACCTCACAAGACGGTAAATAAAAAGATGGTAAGTGTAAATATATGTTTTAAGTGTTATTAGACATATTATTTACTTTCCGTAAATTAAATAACACATAAAAAGCTGTTCAAGAAATTATTTAATAAAACTGGCTTAACAACCTTGCAACTGTAGCAACCCTCCAACTTCAGAACATAAACTAAAATGTTAAACAAAAATAAAAGTTATTTAGGATTTTTTGAGAGGATAGCAGGCTTATCTGAAGGGGAAAGAGTCCAAGCTGGCACAGGAAACACAAAACTTTAAACTATATACACAAAACATTAGAATATTTCACTGTTTTGTGTATACAGTGTAAAGTTTTGTGTTTCCTGTACCAGTTTGGACTCTTTCCCATTCAGGTTTTAAGCCTGCTATCCTCTCAACAAATCCTAAAAAACTAGGCCCTTGTGCTCTATGCTACACCCTTAAAAATAAAACTTACTTTTCTTTGGGTTACTTACTATATAGTTATAACATCGTTTGGTTTGTAGCTAGGATGTAAGAAAAAATGTACTTTGGAAACTTGCTCATCAACAGCCAGAGAGCCAGGGGCTGAGCGCACATAAACCATCCACTTGTGTGTAGCTGGGTTGAAATTGCCGTCTTGTTCAATCTGTTTAGCAACATTGCCTATCAGGACTCTGGAACATAGACAAGTCATACTTCAAAATCAAACTCAACTACTTCATGAAACTCAAGTTTGTGAAACAGATCATAGTCTTTCTTTTCCAACTGTGAGTTGAATTCTAACTTAAATGATTCTATAGGATTTACACTAGTTTCTAAATCATCTAGAAGAAAGGAGAGAAGTTTAACTACTAGTAATAGAATGGATCAAATCAACTCGGTTTGACAATTTGTGTTGGCTTGGGTCAATACTTGAAATGGGAGACAACTGTTCCATGTCAACTGTTTAAAGCTCGATTTTTTGGCTCTGAATACAAGCCAGAACCAACCAGACCACGAACTCGTGAAAACTTTAGTAAGACATAACAATGTTAAGAAAACATGTACACATACTAAGTTTGGATAAGTGTAGCTGCATTCATAGGCCTAGTCAGTTTTTAGTCAAGAACAATTCGGACAACAAGTTGGATATGGTACCTTGTGTTTCAAAAGTATTTAGGCCTAACTTAAACTGTTACTGAAAATAAACATAGGTTACTTAAATCCTGGTTGGAAGGAAATATTTAACAAAAAATGTAAGCATTGGTCCTGTGGGGTCACTGTTCAGCTTGCACATCAACTTGCAAAAGATGGAACTTTGGGTGAATACATTTGCGTGATACTATGACCACAGTGGCCCGATTTTTGAAGAACGGCAGGTACTAACTGTGTTCAGCCAATATGTGTACAACATCCTTGGTCTCCTGAAATTAAAGGAAACTGACTTTGACAGAAGGAGAGACCAACATACTTATGAAACACGAAATGCAGTAGACTTTGATATGCCCCGATGTCGTCCAAGCAGATCCCTGAAATGCTACCCACGGTATGCTATCAAGATTTTTAACACACTTCCCAAAACTGTTAGAGATTTGAAGGTTAAGCATTTCAAAAAGAACATGATTCTGTGTCTCCATATGGATGGAGGCCACTTGTTCCATCCTGATGAATATTCAAACTAGCTCTAAATAATAATCCAAACCACCATGCCTCAAAGCTTTTGAAATGTTTGTAAATATTAGGCTAGTTTTGTAAAAATTGTATTTAGTAACTAAGCTGACGCAATAAATCAGATAATGTTGTATTTATTTATTTATTCAAGTAAGTATTTTAGTATTCATATAAATAGTATTTTAGAGCTACAAACCTCATATGCATCTTGGTGTTTCCTCGCACAGATGAATTTTCCTGAGGATTTCCTGGAATTTTAGGTGGAATGTATTGAGGTTGGACTGTTGAATCATTTTTCGCAGATTTTTTTGCTCTAACATTGGGTAAATGTCCAGACTTGCGTTTCTTACAGAGTTGAGTCCTAGTTGTCCTCGTGTCGCGCTTCTGTTCGGCATAGTTTGATGCCAAGAACTGTTCCGTTTGTATTGTACTTCGAGGCCTCTTACCAATTATATTCATAACCGCTGGATGTATACTTGGTTGTTCATCAGGTTCTAGATCCTGTAAAATAAAAAATACAATGTATTGAAATACAATAATAGGGAAACTATTACAATAGAACATTTAATGTTTACCACTAGGCCTACTGCAACACTTGAATACTAAAATACCCTCACCACAGCAAACCTGCAAACTAAGCGAATTTACATTAACTCTATTTCCACTACATAGATCAGCCGAACTAAGTAGTTTAAATCACCGTTTTAAACAATATTAAGCTACTAACCTGAGGCAACGTTGAGTAATACTTGATTGTAGCTTCTTTCCGTAGTCTGTTTAGGTATTGTCGACATTCAGTTATACGGTCACCTATTTCTGATATTTCTGCAATCCTTTCTGCAATATCTCTGTCAAATTCCTTTTCAAAAATTGATGCTAAAAGAGAATCACTCTCACAATCTGCAAACAAAAAGTTTATAGGGTAGCCTATATACCGTAAATAGGTATAGAAATGTCATACAAAGAACATGTTGTCTAACTTAATGGATGAATTCTCCAAAGCTGAGAATATGCAATTTGAATGAAATATTCTGCCAAGCTAATTAAAATAGCAATAAGTTTGCTGGGTAGATCAATGGCAATTTATCTTTTCTACCTTGTTGTAATGGAAACGTTCTTATCAGCTTTTCTTATCTGATCTTGGCAGTATTATCCAATTAGGTTGATGGTTTAATAAAATGCAATGAAGCTCAGTCATACCAATACTTCTTCCTTTACGGTGTTCAAGTAACTTAAGTTAAACATTTTAGCCACCCCTAGGTACAAAGAAAGTAGGTAGATATTCAGCAAAATAACTTTTTTCTGTGACTACAAATTTGATCAAAAGTGTAATATTCTTTTACGAGAGAAAATCTTTAGCCTAAATAAGGACTTATTTTTTTTTTGGTTTCAGTAGATCATTCCTGGCGAGTTGATAGCATGCTAACTTACCAGAACTCCTGAATGTAGAAGTGCCAGATGTAGACGGAGCGTGTATATTAGGATCCATTTCATTGTATTCCATCGTTCTAGTGGTCTTAGAGAATGGAATTTTGATAAAAGCATGGGTGCTTTTAACAAAAACTACGTTATTCAGTTAGACCTAACTAATTTTCTTAATGAATTGCTTCTGAAAAAGTAGACATGTCACAGCCAACAGTTTTCCTTAAACAGATTTAAAATGTAATAATAATTTAAACATCGTAATCAATGAGAAGGGGTTTTCTTCAAAATGTTATATCTAGACTACATACATCCACTTGTGTAACTAACCCAGGTGTACAAAATGCTAGACCAGTGTTTTCAACCCTTTTTTCAGATATAGCCTACCACACTCAAATACGCAAAACATTTTGCCATTCCCAAACTATAAAAAGGCCTAAAATTTGACATAGGAATTCTATAAGGTATTAAGTTAGGTACCGGTATGCAATTTTTTTTTCTAAAAACAAACAAAGAATTGATTTATCTTGTTTGTTGTAAATACAACTTAAAACACATGCTGGATACGAAATATAATAAAAATATCCTAAACAAAACTTCAATTAGAAAGCGGAGCTTGTTGAAAAGACCCAAAACCTTGAGAACGTTCTAGGTATATAATTCATTCCGATATGAAGTCTGATCGTTTTCTAATTGGGATGCGTATTTCCGAACAATCGATATTAATTGCATGAAAAATTATCTGATATAAGTTACAGACCTAATGTAAGTAAGTTACTAGGCTAAGTTAATCGAACAAATATTTCATCCGATAAAAAGTTTAATAAATTTAGCCTACATAGGCTATTGTAACTTAGGTTCTCTGCGGAACTGTAACTTAAGTTACTTGAGTAACTTACCCTATCATTCAGTAGTTTACATTAGAAATCCAACAAACCGAATCCCAATATCCAAATCTACAATTAGGCCTACTTAAGCTATTCAGATAAATTTTGAGTGTAATAGCTGCACTTTACTGTAGTTTATGTCCCAACTTACACTCATTCCAATGCAATTTTTGATAAATCGATTACCAGTGTTTCATTCAATATATCAAGTTTGGTTAGTTAGGTTAGGTTAACCTAACTAACCAATTGTCCATCAACATTTGTTGAAATTGTTAATTTTTATACGTATTTTTATCTTAATATCTGTATTTTGTTGTTGGTTCATATAATTTATTCTTTGTTAAATTATCATATTTATTTATAAAATGTACGGTATTTAACTTATTTTTAAATCCACAAAACTTTATTGGTTTGGACCGCTTTCCCTTAAAAGTGTTTGAAATTACTTCATTACAAAAATGCCTCTGGCGTAGATACAAGCATATGCATTTTAAGAGAGCAACTGTAGGCCTACCGGTACTGTAAGTTTAGCCTAAGGTAAGTTAGGGTATAAAAAAAAATCTGAGAACAAAATGTAGGCTTATGGTGATGTTTTTTGCTTAATTCCCGAGTAAGTATAACCGATCATGGCTGCACTTTACTATCCGTGCTAAGTTAGACACTCATTTGAATGAAATTTTCGATGAATCGATTATTTCATTTCATACCCTTACCCTTAACTTATATCAAGTTTGGTTAACTGAATGAAATAATCAAATGATCGATATATCGATCGATATAGCTTAATATTCATTCGAAGGAGTGTAGGACAGATAGGGCCTACTCAAGTGCAGCCCTGATCATCCAAAATCCCCATCCGAATAGGCCCAATCCCCAATCAACTTACTTCGGATAATCAGGTTTCTAAGTTACTGTTAGGCTATTAGGCCTACAATCAAGTTATTCACACTTGTTATTTTAACCAGGATATGAAAATGCAATTTAATTTGTCATAAAAATTCCTTCGTGTCAAACCACTAAGCTTAGCCTATAGGGTAGGTAATTAAGGTAGATATTCAGGTCCATACCTTTAGGCTACGTAGGTCCTACCAAGACTATATTGGCAAAAGCACAAGTGATATAAACTGAATACCGGTACATGATTGAAGTTTAAGTGGATGGAAAACAAAAGAATATGAGGAAATCAAAGAAAAGTCCAACCTCTTTTGTTCTAGGACGAAACCAAATCAAAAGCGGCAAGTGGGTAAGATTTACTTAGCAGAGATGACTCTTGGATCTTTTTGATTAAAAATTGTCGTAAATTAAGGTTAGGCAGGCCATGAAATTTATAGGGCTAAAACCTGTTGATTTTAATGTTTGCCTAATATAACCGTTGTTTACCAACAATTTTTTTCATGTAATGTTTTCTCTCTCAAGAATCAAGACGTCTTTCTTACTTGTGGAGTTGGAGTGGGATCTGTCAGTGTCAGAAGTTGAGTGCATTATCCATTGAACACAATTTAACCTTTGAAAACTGATAAACCTTTCCACAAATATGGTAAGTTTGTGCTATTCAAATGTAGAATTACAACACATCACATGGAGACATAATGATTCAGTGGCAAACAATTTTTAAAAATTAACTAATCAGACAATTTTCTACTCTCAATTTTCTTTTCTTCTCGTTGTAGAGGTTAGGTTTCCTATACAATCCCTTCCCTTACAACACTGACTGAGACTGACTCAATCTAATCTACTCTACTTCGAGTTTTATTCATGATCAGCTGATGAGGAGTAAAAAAGATTTTTCAAAGACTCCCAAAGTGATTTTACTTAAGACCCTTAAGACACTATGGAAAAAACATTATACACAGGGAGGGCAATAAAGTGAGTATTTGATTTAGTAGATTATTGGTAGCTGATTATAAAATAAATAAATTAACCAAGTTTGATCAAAATCTATCTATATTTATAAGTTCTGTTTTTCCAACGGTTGCTGAAATATTGGCAAAAAAGTGAAAGGTAGCACAGCATGCACGGATGTTGATTTTTGATACTGTATGTTGTTACTGGGTACTTGTACTACACATGTGCACAGTTTCGCCACTATAGTTCGGCCGCTTAGAAAACGACCTCCTCCAGCATTGGTTTAGCATTAGCGCGCAGGTCGTTTTCTAAGCGGCCGAACTATAACTTCCATCTAAAACCCTAATATGACTGGGCTAGTAAAAGAGCTACTTTAGACCTGTAAAGCATGTAAACGGCTTTTGTTTAATTAACTTTTATTCTTCTACAGTTGCTTACGCATCATACTGTTATTGTAGAGTTGTATTTCATTTACGGTTTCAGAGTGGTGGTTCAGGGATTGGCGCATTTTTCAAGGTCTTCGTCTACGGAACCCTCAAAAGAGGAGAACCCAACCACCATTGGTTAACAAAGCCTGAAAATGGAACTGCAAATTTTGTGGGAGAAGGGAGAACTGCAGTGAAGTACCCTCTAGTGATAGCCTCCAGATACAACATCCCCTTTCTGCTGGATGTTCCAGGAACAGGGAATGTAAATACAGTAGCCAATCTAACTAATAATTTACGAAAATTAACACTTTTTGAGATTTTTTATTCACAAATAAATGTGATGTGATTCAGCATTTCTTTATCGCTGATGGTAATGGTAAAGGCACTCAAGAAGACCTTAATTGTAAAGACGACTGTTATTTTTGATCAAGAACAAATGTTCTTAGTCCATTATACTAAACACAACTTGTTCAATACTATTACATTTTTGTACACGTAATCTCTTGGATTAGAAACAAATCCTTATGCAAGTGAAATTATAAATCAAGACTCAATTTGTGCATTTTTGATATTTTGTTTCCATAATATTACAGTTTTGGTGTCATATTTTGTGTTATATTCAACTTGTGTTTAAGGAATAAATAGTACAGTTAGTTTTAATTTTGAGACTAAAGTGTTGTATGTATATGATTACCATTCTTGAACACATTTCTCCACATTATTCATTGGATGTATCCTATGCATATTGGATCAATCGATTGTCATGTAAATTTTCCCTTTTTGAAAAACATAAATTGGCCAAACACATTTTGTTTGTTTACAATGCCACCTTCATTGGAATGATCGAATCAAGAATAGATACAAAATAATCATCCTTTTTAATGTTTTTAGTTAACGTATATTTTTTTCATTGCATGATTTCCAATGCAACGTCCAACGCCATCGTTATCGGAATTAATGGATTTAAAAGCCTCTTTATTCATGTTGCCCATAATCCATTGAAATTCAGCGTATTTTTTGTATTCAAATTATTTAAATTTATTTTCCCATGAACAACTTATTTTGTAAGCTCAGAGAGTAAATTACACATTTTAATCATCCCTTCCACCCCTTGTCACAGAACATTCAGGGAGAGGTGTATGAAATAGACGACAAGATGCTTTCCAACCTGGATATCCTGGAGGATTATCCCACCTACTACACCAGGAGAAAGGAGAGTATCCTGCTGGATGACAGGGAAGAACACTGCTGGACATACTTCCTTAACGGACACAAGCCCAGTATGCTGCAGCTGCCCATGATGACGTCATACTCCTCAGCTGGGGACCATGGGTTGGTCTACATGGAGAGGTACAAGAGAGACCCCACGTATGACTTTAAAGTTGAAGTCATTCTGGGCTATAAGGCTGAATGAAAATTAAATTCTAGATTTTTTTATGAGTTATTGTATATTTATAGAAACTAGAGGTCGTCCAGTGGTCGAAACTCGACCATAAATATGTACATAAATATTTAATTTAATTATTTTCAAAGCAATTAACCATCACTTAATTTGAAGGTTATAATTAAATAACAATTTATTCATTGGTTGATTTGGATAATATTCTCTAATGATTAGCTAATGACAAAGTGATTTTATTAAAGTAGATTAAGTATGTCAAATTCCAAGAATATATTATGCCAGTTTGTTTGTTTTGATTTGACACGTATGAACACATGATCGTATTAAAAAGGTCCATCTTCAAAGATATTCCACCACAGCTTAACCACTTCTAGCTAAAAAATCCAATTGCACTTTACATACTTCTCTATTTTTCACCCCACTCTGTAAATAAAACATGTGATTGGAATTTGTTTTGATTTTCTGTTTATATTTCGTCACCATCATGGCAACCCATAAAGCCCATGTTAATTTTTTGTTAATTTCAAATTAATTTTTTGTCCTTATCTTTGAGCCTATTCTAATTTATAATAGGATTCTGCACACCTACAGGAAAATATCTTTCTAACAGTATGCATAGATTTTCCCTACGACGCACACGAGCTGAGAAAAAAGGTTTTAAAGAAACATGCTTGCCTATTAATATATAGAAAGATCATTCATAGTTAACGTATACTCATAGTTCATAGTAACGTATACTTGCTATGTCTCTGATCCAAAAACCTTTGAATTGGCTTTTAACAAATCTAGTTGAAATAATGCAAATTTACATTTCGTCATACTGCAACAAAAACAGCCGTTTTGAATGCATGTGTTGGGGGTCTAAAGTAGCATTTTCTCTCTCTAGGGAGTAAAATAGTAAAAAGCGGGTTTAGCCTCTAGGGAGTAAATAATAGCTATTGCCAACTCGGTTGTAAATTTCGATAGTAAACAATTGCATGTATCGAAACGATGTACCGATTTTAGCTTATTTCTGCCTTATTGTAAATATTTTGACATATCGATAGCATAATGTACACTAACACAATCGTAATAGTCACGATTAAATCACTTACTAAACAGCTTCTTGTTTCCATTAGCAAATTAAATTGAAAACAAGTTAGTAGTACTGTAGTTTTGAGATGTTATCTTTCATTGAAAAATATTTTAGTTTTGTAACATAGTTTGTTCAAATAATGGTGCAATATGACTAAAAATAAAATTCACCACACGGGCAACCCCTCGCTCATTTTTCAACCTCGGCTTCGCCTCGTACGTAAAATTTGAAATCTAGTCGAAAAGACTTCAGTATCAAATAGTCAATATTAATAGTTTTCACAATAAAACAGTTCAATGATTGATAATTGATAATTGTATTTATTTTGTAGCTTAAAACGATACAATAGTTAAAATATTCACATTTCAACTTTTGTTTCAGTAATAATGAGTCAACCATAGACGACGTCCTCTAAAATAACCTAAATACATTTACCTAATTTAGTGAAGACGTAGCAAATACAATGAGGATATTTTTAGTATATTTTGTGTACCGTACAAGACGTTGATATGTGTTATGATTTTATTTGTCTCAATATTGAATTTATACATTCCGTAATGTAACAATACATTTTTTAAATATATGACTGTATTTATTTATCCTTTACTCTAATTAAACGTTTAACTGCAATGCGTAGGCTAAAACACTTGATAACTGTGAGAAAAGGCAAGGTATAGTATATGCAAAGATGATGATCGATATCATAATTACTCTGTGTAGAGTAGATGAAGGGTATCCCAGAGAGGCGTGTTTTCCCGCCACCCCGCTGAAACGGAGATTTGTAATCACCTGGCCAAAGTTCTTTGCTGATTACAAGCTGTAAGCGAACACTAGGTTGTTATTTAAACAACCGGGTAATTTAGCGTCGTGTAGTTGGCTGCATTGGCAATAGTAATTGTCGAGCAGTTGGTGACACTGTTAACGAGATCTGTTTGTATGTCACCTGATATCGTAGTGAAACAAACCTTTTGATATGCGAATACCTTTCGCATTTCAGAGCTAAATTACAGAGCTTCACATACCCGACTTTGATAATGCGAACGAAACACATTCGCATTACGTGTTCAGCACAAATTATAGATGTGTATTTTCAGTAATTAACTCCGCATCGGAGTTTCAGAGTTCAAAGTAATTGGAGGTGTGGAAAATTTGCTTTTAAGCAATTAAATAATTGATACGCTGTCGATTGATTCGAGAGAATATCACTGATGCCGAATCAGGAAGAAAAGCCAAATCCGAAAAATCAGTAGACTGCTGATATAAGCATGTGTTTCTTGTTTGATTAAGTGCGCTGATTTCGATTATATTTTCTTATTTCAGGCCAACATATACAGCGAAAGCTTAGCATTATCGTTGTAATACCAGGAGACTTAGGCCCGATTTCACCAAATTCTCGCTAACGATGGTTTAGTTAAACTTCGGTTAAAACTAACCGATGATTTAAACCTCTGTCAAGGAAATTTGGTTTCACCAACGAAAACGCGTCAATACTAACGCTGGTTTTATAAAAGAGAGTTTAGAGTAAAATCCAGGTGGCGGTGGCAGTGAACTGTCATAATACCGGGCTGTTACGGGAGCAATTAAACATAACCTAGAAAATAAATTAGTGTTTATGATTTATGAGGTAGTGAAAACAAAACTGGAGACAGTAAAGCTTACAGGAATACAATAGATTCTGAGCGAAATAACAACAGAAAGCAAGAATAAATACCAAAACAATTAGCATAAGTAAATAAAGGCAAAGCAATGTTGATCAAACATATTCGAGGAACAAATTGGTTTGAGTTTTGCGGTCGAGTCGAGACTCAAAATCCAACTTTTTACAGGGATGTTCAATATTCTGTTTATTCACTCAGTTTGGTACATTTGAAGTAGTGAAAAACAGGAGTCAAAAGAATTACAAGAACGGGACACAATAAAGATAACATAAAAATAATTATTTTCTATAAAATATTAGCAGAATAATGACAATTTAGGTTTATATTTTGGTTTACTTACGCCTGACCGAACGCAAAACAATTGTTTGAACGTTGGGTTAGGGCATAGATAAAACATACTCCCTTTCCCTTTGTAGATTTCTCATCCTTATGGAACAGCTGAAGACAATTTTATTGTTAGTTCTGTACGGTTTATGTAGAGGTCGTGTTTTGTTTACAATTTGTTTCCCGTTATTACAGCCATTTAAAACCTCGTTTAACCAAATAATATGATCTAATCATAAACAATAACTCGTCCCCTAGTTATATAACCAAACAGTAAAGCACAAATCAAGAAATTAACCCTAAAATAATAGAAACAAAGGTTCGTCGACACTAGCGCCCATGTGTCACGTACATGAACTAGACACGAAAATCTTGCTTCAAAATTTACAATGGGATGAGAAGTCTACTTGTGTTGGTTATTCTATAGTTAGGGTTACCCAAAGCCGGGAGAAGGAAACTATTTTTTCGAACAATGAAATAATAAATTTGATAATGTTGGTAGAAGAGCCGGGACACTCTTTTTAGTCGGGATAAAAGTGGGATAGCCTAAACACAAACCACTACAGTGGTTTGTATTCATTTCCTAAAGAAAAAGGCTAAACGTTTTGATAGTTCATATCTAATAATAAAATCGATTTCATCTTTGTTATTAACATCATTAACCCTTTCTCTTATCCACCTAGTTAGGCGAACAACATAGGCTACTCTTCATTGCCATCACTTACTTTCAAAAGCTAATTCGTATCGTATTCTCTTCTACCATTTCGCCTTTCCATATAAACTTTAAACTTAAAGCCAGCTGATATTTACTTAACGAAAGATTAAAGAAGTTAACTGGTCAAAATCGGGCAGTTAATTATCTAACGACGGTTTTAGTCTAAACTAGCGCTAACGGCGAGTGGTGAAATCCGATTTCGTCAGTTAAGAGCTAACTGCAGTTAGAGCAAGGCTTAACGGTGGTTTAAAAGTTTGGTGAAATCGGGCCTGAACCTTTTATATTTAGATAGCATTTGGAAAAATAAAAAAAAATAATTTGTATACTTAAAATTACCTGATAGCTTGACAATTATTTCGTCTTTAGGAGATCAGTAAGCTCCTATAGAGTATATTTAATCTATGCTAAAAACGTGTTCACGTACTTGTGTATATATATAATCAATGACTAAACCGACGACGCCAGACGAGATGCCCCATGACTCGCCATGATATCGATACCTTCCATCTGGCACATCCACAGTTTGCGTTGGCACTCGGTCAACCTGCAATGGATGCCCAGGTGTAAGGCGTCTCCGAATACTATTTTCAGATACTTTTATTGTGCACTAACTAAATAAGCGGGCATATCGAATTCAGTTTGTTTGGGAACGGTGTAGAACCAAAATAACGCGGATGTTGCGAAGAAATCTGGGTTATTGGAACCGCATATATGAAGATTCAGCCAAGCAGAAGAAAAAATTTATCACCTCGTAATTGAAGATTCTTATTTAAATCATATTATGACGTTGCTTATTTAGTATTTTTATTTTTAGATGTTAAGAATAGTTATAAATTAGGAACATACTGGATATTCTCCCTATCGTATACAAGAATAGCCTAACATTCTCGATATTAAATCTGAAATTGCTTACACAATTGTCAAACATAATGGAAAATCTCAAATAATAACAAAAGCTTTTGTTGGAATAAACAAAAGTCTTTTGGAGAAGGGATCGGGGTCTTACTCTATTTCAAAGTCTAGTCTGAAGGATAACTCTGACTCATATTACGGATTTGCATACCATAATGTTCTGTTCAAATAAAATTTGATTATTAATCGAACAACATTTACGTTTGATACCAATAGCCTTGGCGGTCTTTGGCCTTGCCAACCATGTGCCTCCAAGATCTTCTGTCTTCTGCCAGCTCTAGGTCTGCTCCCATTCCCATAAGGTCCTTTATTGTAACCTCGTCAACGCATCGCATCCTTGGTCTTCCCAATGGTCTCCTGTCCTCCGGAGTACCTATTATCACCTGCTTTACCACCTCTCTCCTCTGAGTTGATGACCCAGCCCCCTCAACTTTCTATTCTTTACTACTCCCACTATATCTGGTTTCTTATACAATTCCCACAATTCCCTATTTTTTCTCCACGATTCTCCGTCTTTAATTGGTAAAAGAATACTTCTCAATACTTTATTTTCAAAAGTAATAAGACTTTTTTTGATTATTTTTGTGAAATACCAAGTGTTAAGTATTCTATGGTTTATTTTTCTTCTAGTCTGCCTCCAACACATGTTTTTGGGGTTTTCAATATTTGCATATGATTATTGTTGTTTTTAAAAATAATGTTCTGAATGTTCAAGAAATACATCTAAAATTTTGTACTCAGTCATTTTTACTTTCATTTGTTGGTGATTTTCTCTACACTATTTAAGTATCTTTAACAAGTTATAAGGATTTTCTCTTTCTTCAATACTAATACATTTATTTAACCTCAAGACAAGTAATCAAGCTTATAAAGAATTAATTTAAGGTAAATCTTTATTCCTATTCCATTACTCAAGCCTAAAGCTAAATTCTCTCCTCTCTAAATTCCCTAATCATTTCACTAAGTCTCTGAACCGTATAGCTAAGACGGTTTACCCTATAAAAACGGGCTGCACTATAGTTTTTACATTCTTATTTTGGTAGTCTTTGATACAAGTTTACTTTAATAATTTTATTAGGTTCCAATATGATTTTTCTGTTGCCGTGAGTCTGTTTTGAATTTGACCAAGATCTTACTTGAGCCACAAGTCTTAAGATTCCATATTCAGAATGTCAAACAAATTCTAAAGCAAGGCAACCCTTTCATATCAAATTAACAGTGTCCCAATCATAAGGAATCTGTATCAAACCCTATCTAACACATTCACCATAGTTTGTTCTAAGCCCCAAGTGACAACCTCAAGCCAATCCATCTCTCTGAACATCCAGATCTCTGTTCCACGTTGGCTCACAGCCTACAATTTAATTTGACTGTGTCAAGACCTCACTTTATCTAGAGCTCACAAGTGTCTAGTCTGGCTAGACTATGGCATTATTTTTGCCCACATTAGAGCCAGGTGGACCCTTTCAAGGCCTCTTCCTGTTGTCTTAGGCGCCGCTGCTGTTGATAGTTGTTTCAACCCGGGTCCTCTTACTGGCATGTTTTTGTTCCTTATTTTGACGCCGCTCTCGTCATTTCTAATTGGACGTGTGACGGCACTCAAGATGGCCTCTATTAAATTTCATCTGTTGTCTCATAAGTCTTTTGTCTGTGGTAAGAATAGAATATTATTCAGCCAGTGGATGTAAGGTTTTCTCTTAGGTCATAATTTAGCCTCGCTGGGTTAGAAATGTGAACACATTCATAATTCTGGCCCTTAGTCTTTTTTGTTTGAATAAAAACATGTTTTACATCATCTCCGTCAAATACTCCAACGATTATTCACTTGAATCGTTGGACTGTTTGACGGAGGCAATGTGAAAACTGTTTTGTCTGAAATACTCTACCTTGCTCTTTCGATATCTGGTTAAAAGTATGTTCAACGCCAAACCTCATCAAAGTCATATTGGATTTGCTGCATTCTTTTGCATTAGG